TTTTATCGACTAAGCTTGTTAAAATGTTTTAAAATATATTCTTTTGAACCAAATACACATGAAATGGAAAAATATGTGACAACAGTTGTGTACTGCAGTCGATACAAAATTATTGAATGATGAGAACCAATATACATTTATTGCAACTGTTCTGTTTAAATAAAACCACAACAAACAAAAATGTTGACAAAAAAAAAAAAAAAAAAAAACACTGTCTCACAAACAATTCAAAATAAAGAAGAGAAAATGTCATACTCATACCCTAAAACTCGTGGTGAAAATAAAATAATTTAAGGTTCTTGAAACCTGCGGTCAAACAACTCCGACGCTCCAAACTTTGACCATTATCAGTCGACTCTAGTGTTTTGTTTTGTTTTGTTTTCTTAGGGGGCTAGGAGATTCATATGTCCGTTTCACATGTCTAAATTATGTATACATATATAACAAATCTTATAACAAAATATATGTGGAAAAAAGTTGTTCAAATTTGGAGCATACAACAAATTGAAGTGGTGTACGAGGAGATTACGAGACAAAACTACTCTTTAGGTAAAAGTATACAAGGGTGTGATGATGAGATTGTTGCTATCTTTACAGAAGAGAGTTTCTTGAGCCCATCTTATAGAGAGAGAGAGAGAGAGAAGAGTTGTGGGAACAATGGGATATGTTCCAATAACCCAAATATTTAGGGCCCATAAAAGGTCCAATCATAAGGGTCCACAGTGTCTGAGCCATGGGGTCGCATGAGTACTTTTAGAGGTAGCTGTCGAATGTGGAGACCTGACCTAACCCAGGGACCCTCTCATTGGCCATCCATATCGTCGGATCCTTCATTATTCCTTTTGTCATCCTTCTTAAATATTCCTTTCCCTAAAACAAAACTGAATGATTAATTATCAAAAATTCTCTATTCACATCACATCTTTGAAAATCTTGATTATGTCTCTGTCCTCTTCCTCCTTTTGTTTTCTCATGTAATTACACACTCTCACATCATTTTTACATTATATGTTGTGTTTGTTAGCTTAGTGTAAATGTATTACATAACTTGTTTACGTACCAGAGAGAGAGAGAGAGAGCTCCTACTAGGGTTGAAACTAGCAAAGATTTGTATATTGATTTTATTTTTTAACCGTTTTTAGAAGAAAAAAAATGGAAATAGTTTTTACTTGTGTCAGTCACAACAACAAATGCATTTTGACTGTTTCAAAGTAAACAAAACCCCATGTAAGAGAAAACAGAGGATTGGGTCCTCCTCGATTGGTATTGATAACGACGACTCGAAGAGTATTGTTGCTTAAGGCTTACCTAATTAAATGTAGTTGACCGGAGTAACAATGTGGTACCATTTTCTATATGTTAACGTTCCTACACGTTTGTTCATCATTCTTCTTTCTTGTTTTCTCCTCTGCAATTCCTTTTTTTTTTTTACATACTGACTAAGATATATGTAATGTACCAAAGTCAAAACTAATTTTAGTTACATATGTGAAAAAAGTTTTGAATATCTTTTTGGACATTTAAAATCACAATGATGCATATGCATGATGCAACTATAATATATTTTCCAAGAGATTTAGGAAGTTAGACATGCATGTTATTATAGTCCCTTTGGGATTGAAACCAATACTAGGCATCGATCATCTTTCCAACATCGAGATATTTCGTACATGAAACTTTGAGGCGCACTTAAGTTCCGATAACGTTGTTATTATCGCAATGAGAAAAAGATTGTGTACCATTCCATAATCCCTTGATTCTAAGTTGAATTCTTTTTTCCTTGATCAATTTGAATATTGTAGTATTAAAACATGAGTTGGTCAAAAAAAGACAAACTAAGTCAGTTTCTCTCGTAGAATACATAATGTTAAAAACGTCGTAGAGGAGTTCTTGTATTTGGGAATTATCTGAAAACTTAGTGCTTGAGAGTGGCGACACTATACAGAGGCGGTTGTTGTACGTCCAAATAACAAATACGCATCGAAAATTATTCAACAGATAAAATCGAGTGCTTTTAGTGCACAAATCCAGGGTCTTGAACGCCTCCTAGGCTTTTAAGTCTTCTTTGACAACACAATAGAAAAAGAGAGTGGAAAACATAGGCTAGTAGAAGTAGTGAAAAAAAATAAAAGCATATTTCATAATTGTTTAGTACGAGAATCACATACACATTTCCCAATATAAATTGTTACAAAAGAATTAATCCCAACAAAATATACTTGAGCTTTAAGGATCATTAAACAAGGTGGAAACTTTATCTTTCATATATATATGCGTGTATATTATAGTATGTTTCAAAAAAGGAATTAAACCATTCTTTTATTATAACATAAAATAAATAAAAAATAACTTCCACTCGTTAATGGGAGGAGAGGTGATGTGCGTAGATTTGATTTACCAACTACTTTAGTCTTTTCGCGTAATTAGAGCACTAATCAGTATTCTCTCACCACAAACTAAAATACATATATGACAAGTTGCTGACATAAGCGTTACTATAGAACATGGGATTTTTAAGAGTTTCTTCATTTCGAGAGGTGAAACCAAATGTATTTCTTAAGTTACACATTTGACATTTTCACTAGTTATTTCGTTTAACATTGTTGTTGAAGATAGTGTTCCATTTCTTTTCTCTAAGATTCCATGATTGATCATCATGATAAAAATATATATATATATATATATATATATATATATATATATATAGTACTACGTACGTAACGTACTTAAACCTTAAAAAAATTAAAATTAAGGTAAGTAGTATATATATATATATATATATATATATATATATATATATATATATATATATATATATATATATATATATATATATATATATATATATATATATATATATATATATATTCGTAGGAATTCGTCAACTTCAAATTCTTTAACATGCTAAAAAATCGAATTATAAGATTATTCGGCGGGGAATAATTTTATAAGACACTAAACCTTTTATTCAGATATCTATTTTTTTTTTTCTTACCTACAAACTGTTGTCAATAAAAAAATGGGATTCA